TCATATTGGCCCAAAAAAAAAAAAAAGGGAAACAGGAAAAGAAAAATAAGAAATTATATTTTGCATGAAGAAAATAATCAGTTTTTTGACTTTGTAGCATGCTTTTTAAAATGATCATGACTGCATATAGAATAAAATGCATATATATATATATATATATATATATATATATATATATATATATATATATATATCAAGGATGCATTCATTTGACCAAAAATTAAAAAGTGACCATGAAGACATTTTATAATGCTACAAAAGATTTCTACTTCAAATGCATACATAGAGAAAGAGAGAATGTGTGTGCTATAAAAGATATATATATATAGAGAGAGAGAGATTTGTTATAAAACATGGTAAATGTTAAGAGTATAAAATAGACTTTTCTAGACAGTCTTACAATTTAGAACTTTCAATCTACTTTTAACTGATGTCTTCAACCAAGAAAAGAGTAAATACACCAAAGATGGAAAACGATGACAATCTGTACTTAGCCATTAAGCGTCACGAAGAAAGAAGGGTTTTTCAGTTATTTTCTTGTTTATTACTAACCACAATTTAGCCACCTGCAAGAGATGTACAAGGGAAATACAAGAGCCCAACTGATGATTTTTTTTAATTGCAAAAGCTGATATCTAGAAAGAAGGGTTGCTGATATAAGTAGTACATACAGTTCATTGACAGCAAAAAATTGCTGAAATTAATTGAACACATTTATTCAGTATTTTATTTAATATTAACAAAATCTGAAAACCTAAATTGCTTACTATCCATTGAAAAGGCTGTTGAGGATCTCTTGCAGAAGAACTACATCTTCTGTTAATCAACCATTTAAACAGTCTGTCACTATTACAAGCCTTTCTCTGCCCTTCAAGTATTTTAATTTGCTTTACATTACATTACTTTTACATTTTGTTATATTGGAGTTGAATAAATCAGTGTCTCAGAGTAGAACCAGCTGTGTAATATAGCAGCCCTCTTACATTACAGTTACAACTGACCTATAAATAATATCACAGTAGGAAAAAGGCATCCCTCCTCAATGCGTAAGGGTGGAATTAAGCAGCCGAGAAGTATTGTCATGTGGTTAAATGACAAAAATTTATAATTTCCTTTCCATGTAACTGTATTTCCGTTGAAAGATTCTGAAGTTTACAGAGTTATTAAAAAGCATTCAGTTCCATGCGACTTTGTACTTGTTCTCTTAGTTTCTATTGAAATGAATGGTAAGCACTGTTCTCAAACTTGTTCTGCCCTTTTCTCTGTTCCACAGAATGAGAAACCGCTTGGTCATTCTGCAAGCAGGTCCAGCAACATTTCAAAGGTATGAAAATCCATTTCCTTTTCCTCTTTTACTGAGAGTGAGTAAGTGGCTTAGCTTTCTAAGGGGTCTGCACCTGTTGTCTGCAAATACTTTCATTCTCTCCTGAGTTTATTCCATCAGGATTTCTAAGCAAGACTAGTTATTTATTTTTCAGGTCAAGGAAGGCTTTGTACTTTGTCTGTTTATTATCCAATCTTGAATTCTCCTTTCCATGTTTAAAGGACACCTGTTTATCTGTCTGATATGTAATGAACGCCATGTGCCATTGGCTTGAAACATATTGTATGCAACTTACGCAAATGAGACATGAATGCTCGCAAGTGCTCATCCGCTGTATACTTAATATGAGCTCTTGCATTAATATTCTGTTGCTGTAACAAACCTCTGTGGTAAATGGGCCGATAGTTACCCTTAAAATGTCTATGCCACTGAACTGGATGTTATTATTTAGTTAGCCAAGTTTATTTAGTTATAAACATGTTGACAAAATCCAACTCGCTCAGCAATATTCTTCTCAAATTTTTTGCCTTTTGATCATAGTTAGTCTGCAATAGAAGACTATTTATGCAAATGCAATACAGTGGTCCTTGCATCAGTGTCAAGAATATAGTGTGTACTTGCATTGTCACATTTCAGAAAGCACCATTACGTAGCTAGATGCATACTAGTGTAGAGTATGTTTCCACAGTGCACCTTTTGGTCTTATTTCTTTGATCATAAAATCACCTCAAAATGTGTTTCACATTCTTGCATTCTTGGCTTGCACAGTTGAGGTTTAAAAGACACTTAATATTCAGTAATATTATCAGTTTGACCGCACTGACACTATTAAACGAGAATGAAACAAACTAAATTGAACTGGAAAATGATAATTGTCTTTTGTGGAGCTTCTTTAGAGCTGAATATAGCTGATCTGTCGCATCGGCTTCTTTACTGAACTGAACTGAATCAACACTGAACTGACTTGAGCTGAATAATGACTGTTGAATGGCTGTTCATAATGTCATGAACTTTACAGTAGGGCTGGGCGATAAATCGATAACGATAATTATCGCGTGATATACATTTCCTTGATAAACGATAACAAGAGTTCGATAAATGTTAGATATAATGTCGAAGTCGGAACGAAAGAGCGCTAGTCATTTGAAACGCACCACTCGGAGTGTTTATCGGCTCGGAACAAAGTTCAAACAGTGGCGCGGCACGAGTTTCACTAGACTACAGCAGATGCGTTCACTCGCTGATGAGTCTCGCTCACGCGACACTGAACAGCGCTGTGAGATCCAGTGTGAAGCGCTTGAATTCAGAGAGGAACACAAATAACTAAGCCAGATGAAACAGCGCTGACAAACAGCAGAAACACTGTGTGCAACGATACAGTCAGAAGACTTTTTAATCTACAAATCGCCATTTACCATGGATTTACTGTAGTAGCACTAAATGCTATTTTAAAATGCATTGATGAATGTAATCAAGCTTCAATAGCTACTGTATAGCTGCTAGCATTCACATAGTGTATTTATGTATGTTTTGGCCTTAATGGTGTAAATGGTCTTCCTTTTTGTTGATTTATTTATTTTTACATGAAATAAAACCCATTTTGGACTTACTTCCAACTAACTATTGGACTATTCCAAGCAAACAGATTTGTTCTCACCCTATTCAAGTAACTCCTACCCAACATTCATATTGATTTGAATATTTAAAGGCACATAGCACTATGTTAGCCAGTGAGTTCATGTTGGGATCAGGACTGTCAGGCACTTTCACTTTAACATGGATCTCTTCCTCTTAGTGGAGATTTGCTGCACTTCTGCATAACATTGAGCCTCTTAACAGATAAACTCTTTACATGAACTAATAGATGTCAGGGTCACCTGCTCTGAGAAACGCTTCTCTGGTTTAGCTCAAGACATTCAGCTATTGAGGACTTTGGGTTCATGTTCGAGCCTTGAGCACTTTAAGGCTGTTTTCACATTTGGTATGAATGTGTGGTCCAGTTTGAGTCCTTATTTTGCACATTATAAATATGGTAGATACCATAATACCATCTGCAAGCAGTGGCAGAGTTCAAATAAAGCTTACCTTAAACCACCTTTTGAAGTGTACATGAGGTTAGACTGACTTTGTACGGAACTTTTATAATTTAAAAATTAAGAAAAACAAATAACTTTTGTTCCCATAATTTAGTGCTTTAGTGCTTTTAGGAGTCGAAAGTTTGTCTTAATTTTCTTTCAGAGCCTCATGTACTGTAGCACGTTCAATTGACTGTTTACATGCACCAGAGAGCATCAGGTTGATCGTTGTTCATCCCCAGCGGAAAGAAACATCTCATCATTCCAGAGCTCATTTGTCTCTGACAGGATAAATAACATGAGAGGTCCCATTACCGTTATTATCAGTTCAGTGTCCGACACGCACTCCTGCTGCATGACGAGGTTTTGACTGCTGAGAAACCCAAAGGGTCCTAATAGAGGTCCATGGAGTGTTCCTGTCAGCTCTGTCATTTCAGCCTCACATTAAGCAATCAAACAAAACAACACACTCAACTGATCCATGTCAGTGTTGTTATTACCCAGAATCCTCCTTGTTGGGCTCATATCTGCAGCCTTAAAGGAATCGTTCACTCAAGGAAAAAAAGATAAAAGAAGATATTTTAAAAAAATATTTCCTTTTTCTTTTTTGTCCATGTAATGAAAATCAGTGTAGTCCAAGTCCAATAATGCAGCATTGGCTCAACCAATGGTGTGAGTTTGGGGCAGGACTCTCTGTTGTCTGACCAATAGCAGACGGGGACTGTGTGACTTGCAGATCAAGTGTACTCAGTTCAAGTATGGAAAATCAAAAGTATGGTCTTGAAGAGGGTAGACTGTCTTTGGTTCATTAGAGAACATCTGTTTTGAGCCCATCTGCCCCATCACATCAAATGTCACATGTGATTGACAGACCTTTCATATGGCAGCAGCTGCATTCATTTCCATAATCATTCTGTAGACGCCTCAAATTGTGCAGATGATAATGTACAAACAATTGCAGAGTTAATATGCTTCCAGAAAATTGGTTCAGGTTGAACAGTCTGGAAACAAAACTTTGCTTGTTTAAATGCTTTTGTATTTAGTGCTGCCTTTCATTCTGTTTCTGTATGCAACTTCTTCCTAATTTCCTTTTGATTGCTTTTTAGACTCAATCCAAAAGATCACACGCCACTCAAATCCACCTCATTATGAAACAAACATTCTTACTGACTGCGTCACACTGGGGTTTTATCACTTAAGCAATAATGCCATTAAAGAAAAACCTACAATGTGTAATCGTTTATTTCCTCATACACATTAACAGACTCTGAATTGACCTTTATTGCCAGAGTTTTCATTATATGTTAACAAGTTACTGATATTTTGTTCTAAATCACAATATGTGCAGCAGTACAATGTTTTATAAATGACTTCAAGTTAATTCACTACATTTTAAACTAGTGGTTCTCAACCAGGGTGCCGGGTGATGACTTAAAACTATTTAGTTTGTGTATTAACCACAGTTTTCTGGCCTTTTGCGCACTTGTGCTTGTGTCTGGGGCTGAGTGAAGGTTTTAGAGCATGTAATTTTGGCCCAAGATGCTAGGTCACTGTACTGTGTGTGTGTGTGTGTGTGTGTGTGTGTGTGTGTGTGATGAATGGAACCATGGAGAGAGGAGGGCCTCCCAGAATAACACCCGTCACTGGGAGCAATTTAGCTCTTTGAAGGCAGATGGCACACAAACAGACTTTACAGTAACTTTGTGGAGAAAGAAAGAAATTATTTACTGTGAGGTTTGGCAGTCTCAGGTGATGGTCCTTTCAAAAAGACTTAAAGGTGATTCATGTGTTTTTTTCTTTAAATGTCGAAATACACTACTGTTCAAAAGTTTGAGATTGTTTTTTTAAGATATCTCTTATTCTCAACATGCAAGACTGCATTCATTTGATCAAAAATACAGTAAAAACAGTATTATTGAGAAAAATTATTACCATTTAAAATAACCAATTTATTTTTTTTAATGTAATTTATTCCTTTGGCCAAGCTCAATTTTCAGCATCATTATTCCAGTCTTCAGTGTCACATGATCCTTCAGAAATCATTCCAATATGCTGAACTGAAGCTCAAGAAACATTTATTATTATTATCAATGTTGAAAACAGTTGTGCTGCTTATTATTTTTGTTAAAACATGTTTTCGGGATTCTTTAATGATGACTTCAAAAGAACAGCAATTATTTGAAATAGAAACATTTGAAATTGTAACATTATAAATGTCTTTGTCACTTTGGATCACTTTAATGCATCTTTCCTGTATCAAAGTATTAATTTTTTCAAAAAAGATTTTTTTTTTTTTAATGGTACTGTATTTTGTCCTATCTCAGTTTACTGTGCAGTGACTTTTACAAATTCATAGTAAGCTATTCGTAGGTTGATTCCTCTAAACATTGTGCATGGCTAGTGCTATCAAAACATTGCTCATTGCTTGTTTGTTTTGTGCATCCCAACCAGTCCAATATACTAACAACGGCTCAACCATTAGTGTGAGTTTAGGTTGGGACTATCAGTTTGATTTGAGTCTAGTGGGAAGTTAGCACCACATGTTATATACCAATAATGTTCCCTCTAAACTGCATGCATGCACTTCTGATGCTTCTCCTGTGCTGACCACAAAACACATTTGAAGTCTCAAAATTATGTGGGAAAGAAGCTAGAGATTTCTTGAATTGCTGCCCATTCAATTTAGCTCTGATTCAGCTCTGCACATCTCATTGAAATGAGTGACGGCAACTGTTGCCGACCTTGTGTGGGCATGTCTAGAAACTCAAAGTTGAGTCCAACCAGGCAACCTCGAGTGACAAAATTGCTGTCAGTGTGAACTGAGCTTTAAAACATGCTGTTAACATCTTCACTAGAACCACATACAGTGACGGCCTTGTTTATAAATCTCTGTTCTGGTTTCAGAAGCACTTATTTCACAGGTTGGAGTTAATGTCAGTGCCAGGTTCGTGATAGAGAATAAATGATTTTCTGTTATCTCTAAATAACTCCCATAGTGTGTCTGAGAGACAAGCTGCTTGCCTCCTCCAAGCCTATTTTTTTTTTTGTTTAATGTGCACAAATTTACTAACAGATGAATTGAATTACATACTGAAATGTGTTAGAGGCAAATTCCATAACCACAGGACTGTTTTCCCATTACTAGCGTTTTTGCTCATGTATCGACACGCATAAGACTCTGTGCCTCATCTCTGTCCAATTTTCAGCAGTCGGTATGTGGTTTTGTCACGGGTTTGTGTGGTTTTTGTTGATTCACGCATGACTGTGTGTGTATATCACATCTCAGAGGGAGTCTTCACAAACATGCACCATGTCAGGCTTGAGAATACACCTTATCTTGCTGACTGGGTCTGCAAGGAGCCGGAGTGACTCACAGTTAATCACGTTTATACTGTTGTCACAACTCGACTGCGCAACACGCACATAACACTTTACACTATTGGTAAAGCATTAGAAGCACAAATCCTGTGTGTGTGTGTGTTTTAAATTGCTATTAAATATAAATACTAGGTAAATGTTTGTAGTGTGTATATAAAATGTATAAATATGAAATAACACCCAAGTAACATCATTTGACAAAATATGCATAATGAGTACAAAATAAAAATGTTTGAATAATATTTATTTTGATCTCCTGAGATAGACTATCAACATTTTATGCATTTCCCAGGCCCTACTTTGTACCTCATTTGTGGAAAGTATTATTAAATGTTTGAAAATGTTCACATCTTCAATTCCCGAGTTACATAAACAAAAAAGTTTTTTGTATAAATGTGAGTGTGAATCATATGAAGTTATGGTTGAGTCTGAATTGATGTGCTAATGTAAGGCATTCACTCAGGCATATTACTTCCACATTTCTCGTGCCTGAAAACACATTATTATTTCCTAATAGTTTATTGGAACATTATTCATCAAAGATGTGCATTTGTGTGACTGTGCGTGTCAGCTTGTGTGTTAGTGTGTGTTTTTGTAGAGGGCAGTTCTGGACACTCTATCCTGTATTGATCCCTGTCAGGCCCTGGGCTATAAATTCTCTGTTTGTTACAGATAGAATCGATAGGTAATTAGTCTGGGACATAAATGATGGAATCAAACATTGTGCATGTGATCCATGCTGCTTTGATTCAAAAGCCCAGGTAATATTAGTGTGTGTGTGTGTGTGTGAGAGAGAGAGAAATAATTGTTAGTGTAGGATATTCCTTTTGTCAAAAGTTTTTATTTGTCTTCAATGTAAACTTTTCCCCCCTTTCTTTTCAAGAAATTTAAGATTAAAGTTTTAAAATAATCCATTAACTGACAGCAGTGATGTGTCTTCTTTCTGACATTTGTTTTCATTTCATTACTTCAGTCTTCAGTGTCACATGATCCTTCAGTACATTATTTTTGTAGAAACTATTATATATTTTTTAGGACTCTTTAATGAGTAGACAGCATTTATTTGAAATAGAAATCTTTGTAATGCTATAAATGCTTGACTGTCACCTTTGATCAACTGAATGCGTACTTGCTAAAAAAAAGTATTAATTTCTTAAAAGAAAAAAAAAAGTCCCACCAACTCAAACACTTACTTTGAGTCTTACCGACTCAAAACTTTTGAACAGTCGTGTATAGTCATATATAAAAAGATGTGCTGTGTCGTGACAATGGCTAAGTGAAATGCATTTAATTCATGTAGAACCAAAAACAAAAAGCTACATTTACGTAAAACATGTTGATGCCTTGCAAGGACTGGGATTTCCATCAAGAAATCCTCATTTAGTTAATGTTTCTAATGTGCTGCTATGGTCTCTGTTTTGCATACAGGCCGGAAGTCCGACCTCTGTGAACGCACCCTACAGTTTCCCCAGGACTTCAGTGACACCCTCGAACCAGGATATATGCAGGTAGGTTTGCCCCACCTCAAGCCTGAAGCCTCTGTGTGCTCCTGCAGTATGGTAATGTCCTGAAAGAGAGTAAAAGATCCAGAGAGAGGCAGAACTGTCAAAACATCAATGGGACAACACTGCCATCCATCTTGATTCTGGCATTTTGTTTTCTAACCTTCCTCTCGGTTCCTCCCACCTGTCTTTTTGTAATCTTTCTCCATTTGTTCTCTAATGCATGTTGCATGTCTTTTTACGTCTGTTTTCTCTCTTCCCATCTCTGTTTCTGTACCTGTCTTTCTGTCCCATCCCTCTCCTCTCCTCTCGTATGCAGTTCTAATGACCTCGCTCAGGACCTGGGCTCACAGAGGCCCTTACAGGCCACTGTAGTGCTGTTGAACTCTAATGGTAAAAGCTCAGCGTCTCAGGGTGTCACCATGACCACGCTCTGCCTGGATTCCCCCACCAAACCCAAAAATAGGACCTTGTTTGGCACAGAATGGCTCTCCCTACTCAAACCATCAGTCAACTTGAAACCAGGAGGCAGTCTCAAGTTCTCAAAGTCACTGAATGACGTGGGACAAAAGATGGACAGCCTATGCAACGGTCTTCACTTTATAGACCGCACGTGTTCGGATGGGGAGCTGGGAGCGGAGAAGGAACAGCTCATGCAAGACAGCCACATCAAAGCCCTCAATGGTCAAGCCAACTCTCCTCCTCCATTTGCTTTCCAGCCTCCATCCTTCCTCAACAACTATAAATGCATCTCTAACCCAGGGCCTGAGTACTGCCTGGCTTCCCCTGCTCCTCCCCATTCAGACCTTCAAAGAAGCTCCAACTTCCTGCGCCTCATCTTCCCGTTCACCCGTTCATCCACTGCAGGAAGTCTGCAGGCATCTGAAATGGGAAGCTACGCTTCAAGGCTCCACATCACAAATTCATCCAGCGCCATGCTGGACGTCAGCGAGTCTTGCTGTATGGAGGAGATAGGAGACGATGAGGTGTTCGAGGAGGTCTCGTCCCGCTGGAAGCTGAAGATGGAGCGCTTGCGGGCTCCTCTTTGCTCCCTTGAGGAGGACAGCGACCTGGATCAGTGCTGCTCTCCACTGTCAGAGAAAAACGTGCCTCTGTCGCCCTACTCCCTGTTGGGGGACTGCTGCAGGTTGGTGGGACTTGCTCACTCCTGCTCAGCTCCTCTTACCCATGGGCTCAACCTCTAGAGTGATTCATCCTCATAGTCCCACCACAGCCCTCACCTGGATATTCATTTCCTACCAGTCCCTGTTTATCCTTCCTGTTAGAGGCCTTCTAGTGCTGTGATTGTTTCTAGTCCTCTACTAATGGTGGTCGATAATGAGGTTCGTATATGGGTTGTGACTGTTAAAGATCCACGGTGTGGAAGAGAAAGTGTCCAACCTTCTGTGTGGGATGTGATACATATTGTATTGCAGCGCTGTCATGGACAGTCCAAGCAGATTTCCTTGGAGAGATCCAGACGATACTTGAGGTAGCTTCTCAATTGACCCTTCACCGGGAGTTTGATTGACAGGCGATCTGGCCAATCATAACACAGAATCTGCCATTTTGTCCGACAAACAAACCAGACAGGAGAGTAGATTAACGGCGGTGGGCTTGAACTTGAAAAATGGTGTGTATTGACGTCTAACTAAGGGTGGATGGGTCTTTGCAAAGGGTCAGTTGATGTAGTTCAGCCATATTTAATGAGGTAGAATGGAGATTGAGATCTGATTACAGTTTTGGTTGTGGCTCTCTGGCTTTGTGATTTGAGATCAGGCGAAATAACCGTCGTATCGATATTCATCTACAGGGCCACACGGATTCCTCATGAAACAATTAGCGTAACTTATGAGGTATGTAATTGACTTAGAGCTGCATCCTGCCAACAGCAAACTAAATAACTCTGGAAGAAAAACTACTTTTGAGGTCCAAGTACTATTTGGTTGTTACAAATTCTTTCCTAGGTAGTAGCTTTCATTTGAGCTCCCCTCTAGCTTATAAGAAAAAAAGTATGGCTGCATCCAAAATCGCATACTGTCTGACTAGGTACTACACTGGATGAGGAACAAATTTTGTGACCGCTAAAAAATGATGTTCTATATAGTGTGAATGTGTAGTATGAATGTAATCCGGACATACTCGTCATGTTGTCATTGTCCTGTGACCTACCAGCATCAGTTGTGTCACTTCACTGCCATTCACAAACCCTCTCATGTGGCCTCATGGGGTGACAAAGTGTCCTTTGGATGCACAATTCAGAATCTCGCTGGTAGTAATCCATCCGGGTACTTTTTGCCAACTGTAGTATGAATACTGTGAATTCAGACATACTACTCTTTTCACATCTTGTTTTTTCCAACTTTATAGTAGGGAAGCATTCATATTTGGATGCAGCTTATGTTTGTTTGGAAAGTGGCTACATCCAAAAAGCTTTTTGAGAAGATCTGCTTATCTCTAAGCTAAAGTCATTGCTTAACACTTTACCTGAGCTTCACTAGACTTCTTCAGTTTTTTTATTGTGTACGTCTTAAGGGTGAGAGGAGGTTTCTTCCCACATGTATTACCACTCTCACGCAGTGCTCTTAAAATAGCTGACATTTAGAGATCAGCCAGCAAGACTTATTGGTTTAAACCAGAGCTGAAAAACCGAGGCTTGGAGATCTGCCACAAAGCATGCTCGGGTGTCTTGAGGTGTGACCCATGGCAAGGACACATTTGTATGTGGGAGGACCGTCGCATGTAATGGTGCATTTAAAGGCACAATATGTAAGATTTTTTCATTAAAATATCCAAAAACCACTAGAACAGTGTTATATATTTTGCTGACGTTTGGTGTACTTACATTATCCCAAATGTTTCGAAGAATGTTTAAATCCAGAGAAATAAGCAATTTTAACTAGTGACACGGACCGTGTCCATAGTGTCATTGTGTCGCCTGCCAATG